ACTTTACTTTCAGCAAATAAGATTGTGCCATCTGCATATGACAGATTATTAAAGATTCTTACTCCAACTTTATGCTGTGTACTTCTTCATATAGTCCAGCTTCTTGGATTATTTGGTCAGCATACAGATTAATTGTAGTAACATAATACAAATTTGACACACATTGTCCAAATTTTAAACCGCATCGTATGATTTGTTCTAGGAATCTCATTGCTCACAGTATTGCTATAACTTTTTATTATTCATACTGGACAATTAAACACATAAGTTAGTTTTCCCCCAAACAGCAAGTCTATCATTTCACAAGATAATTTAATCTGTACTTAATTTCTTCAAATTGTTCCACCATCTGCAGTCTTATAGGACAAATCTTAAATATTACACTTCTTTAAATGTTTAAAGATATTCTTGTTAAATATATTTGCCCACCAAAATTTTCTTTCTTTCTCAAAGACACACTAATAATTTCTTCAATAATACTTTATATAATACATTGTCTTGGTGTCAGGTGTTTTACTCTCAGTAGAGGATCCTATGAAAAAAATTTTAAAGATCATTATTTTCTTTACATTTTACTGATCTTTCAATTCTGTTCCTTCAAGTCCTCTAACAAATCAGAAATTTTTTTTTTCCATTATCAAGAAGTTCTAGTTAATTCTCTATTCATTCTATAACAAAATGCAATGTTTCTTTCTTTGCCCAATACTAGAATTTTCTCTTAGTAGAGTTGATAGTGAAATGTATGACTTTTTATTTTCTCATATGAGTTCGTAGACCAAATGCATTCATTCCATTAGTTCCATGAAGCCGTAAAATTGAGGTGAAGATGCCAATAAAGCAGAAGTAGGCAACTTGAATCTCCAAACTACTTGTTCATACGCATTACTTGTGACTTTGCACTTTTTTTTTTAATTTAGAAACATCAATTGCTTTTATCTGAGCTTGTCCGAAAACAAACTGATACAATAATCTAAGAGTTGCCCATGATGTTAATAATATCTTTACGCAGAAGCATTTGGAGCGCGTTGGTTTTTGGGGTTTTTTTCAAATTTTTTGTAGACTTTTTTTTTATTATTTTCAATGAACATCTACAGAGAGTTTGGAATTCCATTCATTCATTGTTGCACTTCCCCCCCGTTTGCTCCTCTCCTTGAAAAGCAAAAGAAAAACTCCTTCATTGGTACACAATCCCCCAGCAAACCCCCTGACTTTGTACTTTTTAAGTTTGACTCCTAATAGTACGGGAGGGCTAAGACACAGTCAATAGTAGCTAATTGCCAGGAACTCGGTCCCTAGTAAGATCTAGTAGATTGTTAGGTGTTGTTTTCAATGGAAAAGTAGTTGTCCTTTGCTGAATTTGGGTTCTCTTCAGAATACTGGGAGTTAGTAAGGTCATTTTAATTGAAAATGAAATGAAATTTAAAAGAAAATATAGTTTAAAAGAAAATTGCTAATGGATAGATAGATAACTTTGTTTCTTTAGACTTCTTCGTTCATATAGAGGGATAGGGAATTTTATACTGAAAAGAGTTGTATTCAAAACAAGTGCTGTCTACATGAACTTAAAATTGAATCAAAGTAATACTTAAAAGGTAAATTTATACTGTCTCCCAAATTTAATGAAATTGTCTGTAGTGTGTTTTTTGTTAAGTGTCAAGACCTAGGAACTATAAATTGTTAATAATCTCAATCTCTTCTCTGTTATGGTGCTATCAACTGGCTCAGTGATGAGAATCTTTGTTGTAGTCTTTTTTTTTTTGGTTTTTTTTCAGGTTACTACTCTTCAGAACAATCTTTATTAAATTACCAAGTGCATGTTGAGCTTCAATTGTTGGAGACTGCAGTCTCTGACCCGTTGCAGCAAACGTATCAGGTCCTCCTCATTTTTTGTTTCGGCAAGCAAGGTTGTGTCATCTGCACAACACAGGTTGTTGACTAATATTCCTCCAATTCTGATACCACATAAAGTTCAGGCTCCCAAAATCTGTTCTGCATATATTTTGAAAGTGTATGGATACAGAATATATCCTAGATGTACTCCCTGATTTTGAACCATCAAGTATTTTCTTACTCTGTTCTCTGTTCTCATGACTATTTCCTTGTCCAACTACAGATTTTGCACGAGTATAATTAGGTATTCTGGGATTCCCAAAAGGCAGTGGATTTATTATGCAGTCTTATTTGTTGTTGTTGTTGTTGTTATGTGCCATCGAGTCGCTTGTGACTCATAGCGACCCTATGTACAAGAGCTCTATATGCTCCTCTATCCTGTGCCAACCTAGCCATCTCAAATGCACTTGTTCCCACCTCTCCAGTCACAGAACCAATTCATCTCATCAAAGGTCTTCCTCTCCTTCACTGCCCCTCCACTCTGCCAAACATGATATCCCTCTCCAAGGACCAGGACCAGTCCCTCCTTGCAACATGCCCAAAATATGTCAGACAAAGCCTCAGAATCCTTGACTCCAGGGAACATTCTGGCTTCACGCTCTCCAGGACAAACCTGTTTGTTCTCCTATCAATCCATGGTATTCTCTTCTCCAGCATTACAGCTCAAAGGCATCGATTCTCTTTCTATCATCCCTATTCACTGTCCAACTCTCTGATGCATAGCACGTAATTATGAAGACTATAGCCTGGATCAGGCACACCTTAGTCTCCAGTCTGACATCGTTGCTCTTCAGTACTCTTGAGAGGTCCCTCAAAGCCGACTTTCCCAATGCAATTCTTCTCTTGATTTCCTGGCAGCTGTTACCAAGAGTGTTGACTGTGGAGCCAAGTAAATTAAAACTGTTAACTATCTCAATCTCTTCACCATCCAAACTGCTGCTACCAATTAGCCCAGTGGTTAGAATCTTTGTTTTCTTGATGTTGAGCTTCAGTCCATATAGGAGGCTGTAGTCCTTGGTCTTATTTACCAGATAAAAATATTTTCCTTTTTTTAAATTCTAAAAATTGTTCTTAGTTGTGTTCAAGTAGGCTACATTCATAGTAACCCTATGAACAACAAATCAGAGCATTGCCCTGTCCTGCGCTACCTTCACTCTGATATGTTTGAGCCCATTGATAGTAGATATGGACAGACTTCGATTTATGCCTAACTAACTGCATTACCACTGAATCAATTCCAACTCATAATGAGTGCATAAGACAGAGTCTAATTAAAAGCAATTTGATCAAGGTCAATATTTACCACTCAAATATATGTCTTTCAACACTTACTTTAAGACACTTTTCCTTGTTTCTTACTAACTATAGCTATTTTCACAATTACTAAATGTTCACATTTTTCTTTCACCATTTGTTGTTGTTGACAATTACCTAAAAGTTCACATTTTCTTTCACCATTTGTTGTTGTTATGTACCATCGAGTTGAAACTGACCCATAGCTGACACTCTGATGGGTTTTCTGAGTAGTTAATCACACAGGAGGAGATTGCTCTTTCTTCTCCCATGGAGCAGCTGGTGGATTTGAACTGGTGTTTTCAGGATTGCAGCACAGTTTCTTGTCACTAGGCCACCAGGGCTTCCTAAATATAACACAGTTACATTTTAAAATATTTTTCTCTTAATTTTCTTAGTACTGTATGGATGCTTTAAAATAGCCACAATTTGAACAGGGGGAAAAAAAGAATCTTGATAGTATTAAATTAACGTGAAACGCATGAAAATAGGTTAACTGAAAAGTTACATTATTAATTTAAAAAAGAAAAAAACACAAACTGAGTGTATACCATATTAATGTTCAACTCTATTAAAAACATAATGTTGTTTTGGTTGTAATTTCCATTAGGTAGAAATTAAATTTAAAATTAATTTCTGGAATCATTGTGAACATCTCCTTTGTTTTTACTGGGACTAGAGCAAGTTGAAACATTACAATGATCACCAAAGCTAGTGGGGGGGCCAAAGGCAGTGCAGTGCACAGAGAACTCCAGGCTGAAACTGGTCAGGTGACAAGTTTTATTGGACCTACACACTTAACAGAGTGTAAAACAACTCTTCTCATCTTTAAAGTATAAAACAACTGCTCTTATCTTTAAAGAGGTTAATCCTTACATAAATCAATTCAAATTTTACGAATTAAGGGTTTAGGAATAATAGACTTGAAAGTCTAACCAATACCAACACAAATACTGTCTCTAATATTCACAGGAGACATTCAATTCTGATACTCCAATACATATTTTAACATTGTTGTGTTGTTGTTTTTGTCACTAAGCATTTAATATTTTCACCCAAATGAGGTTTTTCAATCTATTCATCGTACAGACTAAAAGAACTGATGTTGAAATTATGTGGTTTACCAGATTTTCTTTTCCCTTCTGCTGTTGCTGTTATGTACAGTGGAGTCAGAAAATGCTTGACACCACACACACACACACACACACACACACACACACAGGATTTTAAGTGGCTGTAAACTGCATAAAAGAAGTTTGCTCATCTTTTTCCCATGGAGGAGTTGGCGGACTTGAACTGCTTGCCTTTGGGTTGGCAACATAACTGCTTAACCATTAAGCCATCAGAAGTAACTAAACTATCTTAATTGATCAGAAAAAGCCCATGAAATACAAATTTAGAACTTACAATTTTATGTTTTAAACAATTCCTAGTTACTGGGGAAATGTCTGAGGGAAGTATACCAGAAGTGTAACCTAAGATATCACATATAAATATGTGTACTTTTTTTCTTAAATAAAATGTGCATTATTCTCTGAAGTTGGGAAATTCCAGTTTTTATATTCTTAAATATTATTCATGTAGACAGAATATTTTTTTAGACATAATAATTAGAAAAATTTAAGGAAAATGTCCAAATATATGCTTCACTCAACAATCAAGATACTTTGACTCTTCCCTCCACCACACTCATGTTTTTCTGGAACAAATCCAGTGTATACCTGGATACGGTGCATGGCAAGAATCCGGAAAACATCTTTATATGCCGAGCTTTTATTAGGAGAAATTTTGAAGTAAATTTGTGAAGTAATTTTGCTTTAATGTAGAGGATTCCTTGGTACTAGTGGCATTTCAGATATTTTCTTAGACTTCAAATAATGAATTAGAATCTTCCTCATGGCAGTTTTCATATCCCTGTTCCTCAGTGTGTAAATAATTGGGTTCAAGATGGGGGTAAAAATTGTATAAAATATGGCAAGCACTTTATCCACAGGGTAGGTAGTGAAGGGCCATACATAGATGAAGATGCAAGGGCCAAAAAATAGTATCACCACCATGATATGGGCAGCCAGTGTGGACAATGCCTTAGCCATTGCAGCAGAAGACTTAAACCAGACAGTGACAAGAATAACAATGTAAGAGCTGAACAAGAGAGAAAAGGTGCTTAGGGAAAGAATTCCACTGTTGGCCACAATTAGTATTTCAATGATGTAAGAATCCAGGCAGGCAAGTTTAGTCACTCGAGGAAGGTCACAGAAAAAGCTGTCTACAACATTGGGTCCACAAAAAGGAAGGTTGACAGTAAATGATAACTGGCTTAACGTGTGCACCAAGCCCACAGTCCAGGAGATCATCACCAAAATGGCACACGTTCTCCGGTTCATGATGATCACATAGTGTAAGGGCTTGCATATCGCTACATATCTGTCATAGGCCATGGAGACAAGAAGCACCATCTCTCCTCCAGTGAAAAGGTGGATAAAGAAAATCTGGGCTATACAGCCACTGAAGGAGATGGTCTTGTGTTCAATTAGAAAATCTGCAATCATTTTTGGGGTAGCAAAGGAAGCCTGACAGATGTCAACAAAAGAAAGGTTTCCCAGGAGGAAATACATGGGCGAGTGCAGGCTGGCATCAGAAGTTACAGTGAGTATAATGAGGATGTTGCCCAGAACAATGATCACATACAACACAGAGAAGAAAAAGAAAAAGAAAAGTTGAAGTTCTTGTGAACTGGAGAGCCCCAGCAATACAAACTCAGACACGATGGAAGAATTGAACTTATCCATGGATCCAGGCTGAATACTTGCTTTGAAAAATCCCTAAGGATGGAAAATAAGGATTCAAATTATGACTAAAAATATTTTCAGTATAAAAATTTCTAGCATCCCAAATATAATGTGTTTACTGAATGCAAAAATTTTTAATAGAACATGATTACAAAAGTACTGACAGAGATTCACACCATGGAATACTATGACCCCAGTATGAAAACTGCTACATAATTTGGAAGAGGCTGGAGAGTATTATGCTGCATGAATTAACTCAATCTTGTAAGGACAAATACTGTATAAGAACATTATTGTAAAAATAGAGGGATAACTAGTAAAATATGTATGGGGATCCAAGGGAGAAAAAGGTGGGAATGGAGAGGTGATGATGAGTAGGGACAAAATTGCAGAGCTGTATAATTTGGTGGGTGGAGAGAGGAGTAAAGGAAATGGCAAGAGATCCAGCAAGTACCAGAAAAGATGGGGTAATTGTGGGCATAGTCCAATGATAATTAATTTTACCATAGTTAATGGGAATCTTTGTATGAACCACAATGTGAATGAAGATAGTGTGAAACACAATGTATACAAACTTTGTAAGCAAACCAATATAAAATAAAAATTTATAAAATGTCAAAATAAAACTTAATCTTTTATCTGCCTCATTGAAGACCTTGGTGGTTTTGGATATTAGTAGTAATTTGCTACACAATAAAAAAACTAATTCACTCATAAACTTTGCGCTTGTGGGTAAGAGACTAGCTGAATAACATAGAGCCAAATTCTGTAGGTGGTGAAGATTGACAATTTAGATGTATTAATCTTGTAGTTATTTTTCATGATACTTTTCATAAATCTTTAAGTATAATATTTTCTTTAACTGAGTGGATGCTTAACAGTTATGTAACTTCAATTATTTTTTCTGAGCTTGAATGTCCACATTTTAGAATAGAGATGTTGTTGTTTTTGCTGTCATTGAGTAGATAATATCTCATACTGTCCTATTAACAACAGATCTGAACCCTGTTCTGTGATACCATCTCCATCTTTGATATGTTTTAGCCCATTGTTGGAGCCTATGTGTCAATCCATCTTATTGAGGGTCTTCCTCTCTTACTCTGACCCTCCAGCATGATATGCTTTTCCATGAACAGGTCCTTCCTGAGAACACATACATGATTTGTGAGATAAAGTTTCAACATCTGTGTCTCTAAGGAGCACCTTGCTTGCACTTTCTCCAAGACGTATTTGTTTGTTCTTTTGGCAGTCCATAGAACATTGAATAGTTTGTTGAGCATCACAGTTCAAAGGCATAAATTCTTCTTCTGTTGAATAGCCCTTACTCATTGTCCAGCTTTCAGATACATAAGAAGCAGTTGACAAGATAATGATTTTGATGAGGTGCCCCTATGTCTTTAAACTAACATCATTGCTCTTAAACACACTAGGGAGGCTCTTGCCAGTAGATTTTCTCAATGCAACATGTCTTTTAGTTTCTTTACTGGTGTAATTATGTGTACTTATTTGTGTGGATTTAAGTAAATTGAAATAGTTACCAACTTTAATCTTTTCTATATAGCCATTGCCTTTCACACACCAGTGAGTCTGCAATGTGGTCTAGTGGTAAGAAACTGCACTGCGATCCCAAAGACACACAGTTCAAATCCACTAGCTGCTTCACAGGAAAAGGATGGGCAATCACCTCCAGTGCAATTAACAGCCTCTGAAAACCCCCTAGAGAGTCAGCTATGGATCAGTTCTGACTCAATGGTACTCAACAGCAACAACATTATTCACAAGAACATTCTAAAAAGTGTTAACATGCCTACCATTGAGATGGTACAATAATACCAAATAAATTAATTTGAATGATAATAACTTAATTATATAAATTGCATTAGCAATGACCATAAAATTATCATTTTTAAGTGAGGGTAATCACTGAGGGAATGTTAAAATATAACACAAATTATTTTATTATTTCATCCCAAGTAGAAATTATTTTTTCACTATTCTGTTCTTTATTCTAAAATTACTCTACTTGTGTAGTGGTTAAATGCTCAGATGCTGGATCAATAGTTTAGCAGTTTGAATTCACAGATGTTTTGTAGGTGAAAGATGTAAATATCTGATTCCATAAAGATTCAAGTCAGCTCATTTCCATTTAGTTAATACAGACTTATCACTTATCATCAGGGTTGGTATTCAGAGGCTTTAAATGGTATAGTAAGAGATTGCCCATCTTTATCCAACAGAGTAATTGGATTTGATTTGGCAATGTAACTTCCTACTAACTAGACATCTAGAGCTCTCTCCATAAAGAATATAGCCTTGGAAATACTGTAAGATTTGTTTTGTTCTTACCTTGGAAATGATAGTCCTTGTACAGTTACTATGGGTCAGATTTGGCAGAATAAGTTTATTTTTTTGGTCCATTTATAAAGTTCTTTCGATTCTCATGTTCATGAATTTATCATGATAAATTATCAACTTTACAAAATGGAAATACTTATGATATAAATATTATAAATATTAATATGTATATCATATGCTATTAAACATATTTATATAATGAATAATATATGAAAAGAATAAGGTATATGTGAAAAGAATGAAATATATTTCTAATGAAGGATGATATTTTTAAATCAACCAAAAAGTAGAGAAGAAGAGAAAAGAAATCTTTTGTTTCTGAGAGTCTGCTACTCAAGATTCATTGCTATTGACTCATAGAGGATCTTCCACTGGGTGACTGAAACTATAAAGCACATGAGAGAAGATTGTGCATCTTTCTGCCTTAGAGATGCTGATGTATTTGAACCACAAGAGAAAAAGGACTCCGGATAGTCGCACTACTTCCTTCAAGACTTCTATGTTAAAGATTTACATATATATTGAATCAAGCTATTCTCATATGACATCTGTGAGAAACACATTATTCCTGACCTGAAGAAAAGAAAACCTAACATCAGACAGGTTTAATAATCTCCAGACAGCTAGAGAGCTAGCTACTTGAGTGCTACTTGTACTTGATGAGAACTTTATGAGAAAACTATACGCAGCTGAATCAGGAGGCAGTCATGAGAAGAGAGCAAGGAAACACTACACGGATCAAAATCAGGAAAGGTGTACAACAGGCTTAAGTTCTCCTAACTCTATACTTTTCAATCTATATGTGGAACAGATCATACGGCAGCCTGGGCTGTAGGAGGAAGAATGTGGCATTAGAATTGGAGGAAGACTCTTCAACAACCTTTTATGCAGATGACACAACTTTGTTTGCTAAAACTAAGGAGGACCTAAGGTATTTGCTGCAGAAAGTCAAGAACTGCAGCCTTCAATACAATTGAAGCTCAAAATGAAGAAAACAAAGACTCACCACTAGACCAATTGGCAGCATCATGATAGACAGTGAAGAGATTGAGAAATTTAACAGCTTCAACTTGCTAGCCTCCACAATCAATACTTTTGGTATCAGTAGCCAGGAAATCAAAAGACAAATTGCCCAGGGAAAATCTGCTGTCAGGGACCTCTCCAGAGTACTGAACAGCAACAATGCCAGTCTAGAGATTAAGGTGCACCTGATCCAGGCCATGGTCTTCACAATTAGTTGCTATGCATCATAAAGCTAGACCATAACTAAGGATGATGGAAAAAGAATTGATACTTTTGAGCTGTTGTGCTGGAGAAGAGTACTGAATATTCCATGGACTGCTAGGAAAATAAACAAGTTTGTCTTAGAGATGGTAAAACCAGACTGCTTCTTGAAGGCAAGGATTTTGAAGCTCCATCTGATAAACTTTGGGAAAGTTGCCAAGAAAGACCAGTCCTTGCAGAGGGACATCATGCTTGAAAGGGTGGAGGGACAGCATGAGAGGAAGACCCTGGATAAGATAGACTGACTCAGTGACGAGGTTAGGTGTGTCAGAGACAGTGAGGTTGGCTCAAGTGGCAGAGATCAGAGCTGTTGTACTTAGGGTACTTATAAATCACAAATGATTCAGCGGAATGTAACAACAACAAAATGGTAATGATATTTAAAATTAAATAAAATAAATTAAATAAAAAAACATAGTCACACTAAAAAGTCCGAAAAGTATCTAACACTACTATAAGCATTTTACATTGAATACTTCCTTAATACAACATGATAAACACTAATCTCATCTTAAAAAACAAGATCAGTATCTGAAATAATGAGTAATTTTCCAAGAACAACAAAGAAGAAAATTCATTAAAACTAATGTCCATACTAAGGTTCCAGAAGTAATTCTTCAGAGCCACATTATATTGCTTCAGGTCTAAATAACTTAAGATCCATGCCATTTACAACAATGTGCTACTATACGATAGGCAAACCTTTTAATATATGCTCTTGATTCTAATGTTTTTCCTTTATGAGATTCTGCTTATTGAGCTAAGCTAGAGTTTCTCAATCTCAGCACTACTGACATTATGGGGAGGATAATTGTTGTTGTAAAAGACTTTCTTGTTGTACATTGTAGGATGTTGAACAGCAACTCTGAATAAACATTCAGTCGTGACCACTAAAACTGTTGGCTGTTGTTATTAGGTTTCATCAATTTGTCCCTGTCTCAGAAAGACCTTATGTATTACTGAACATGAGAAGCTGCCTGGTGCTGCGTTGGCCTGTAATCTCTGCTGTGCACTGTTTCATCTACTCTGTCAGTTCATTTGGTTGAGTGTCTTCCTCTTTTATCAGCCGACCTTCTACTTTACCAAGTATAATGTCCTTCTCCAGGCATAGGCCCTTTAGATCTTGATAAATGTCTGCTGAGAAATAAAACTGACCCCATTTGAGATTCACTGAATTAAGCTTTTATGCATTACATCTGCAGTCTCCCTTTCTTCCCGTCTTAGAAGCAACAAAATTGAACAGTTTGACACATCAGGAAAACAAATATATAAAATTATTGTTGTTGTTGTCTCCAAGGAGCAGCCTGGTTTCACCCTCTCTAGGTCAAATCTGTTCGTTCTCTTAGCAGTCCATGGTATAC